AATCTTGTTAACACCTAACTTTTTACCGTGTGGCTCTGGCTTCTTTTTTGACAGGAGGTTGAATTTGGCAATTAAGTTAACTTTACATTTGGTTGACATTGAAGTAGCTGAATAAACTGTCATGTTATCTACATGGTCCCAATCAGATGTGGACATTTTATCTGTTAATTCTAAGTGTGATTGTGAGAGAATCTTGTCTAAATGATCAAGTTCAAATCGGAGCAATCTTATTCTCTCTGAGATTAGAGCTAGGCTGGCCCTAAACAAGATCCGTTTAGAGTTAGGAGAAGTGACAGCAGCAGATATGAGTGTAAAGGCAATCGGTATTACCTCGGTGTTGCGGCATCTCTTCAGAAAGGTGAGAGACTTGATCAGGTGAGCCTTTTTGTCTCGCAGTCTGTTAAAAGATCTAACAGTTGTGTGGAAACCCTCCCAGTAGAGGCGGTTCAATCTTGATTTGAAGCTGTCGTGACTGCAGGAATCCATACTCTAAGATTCTTTCGGTAAAGTCACATAGGTAGAAAAATAATAGATTACAACGTTTCCATCGCAACACAAGCAATCGTCATCAGGTGGGATAACCACAGTAAGAAAAAAAACTGCTAAAGTAGGCGAGAGATCTGCTGTGGCACGAGGTTATACAGTGAGGGAAAAAAGTATTTGATCCCCTGCTGATTTTGTACGTTTGCCCACTGACAAAGAAATGATCAGTCTATAATTTTAATGGTAGGTTTATTTGAACAGTGAGAGACAGAATAACAACAAAAAAATCCAGAAAAACGCATGTCAAAAATTGTATAAATTGATTTGCATTTTAATGAGGGAAATAAGTATTTGACCCCCTCTCAATCAGAAAAAATTCTGGCTCCCAGGTGTCTTTTATACAGGTAACGAGCTGAGATTAGGAGCACACTCTTAAAGGGAGTGCTCCTAATCTCAGCTAGTTACCTGTATAAAAGACACTTGTCCACAGAAGCAATCAATCAATCAGATTCCAAACCCTCCACCATGGCCAAAACCAAAGAGCTCTCCAAGGATGTCAGGGACAAGATTGTAGACCTACACAAGGCTGGAATGAGCTACAAGACCATTGCCAAGCAGCTTGGTGAGAAGGTGACAACAGTTGGTGCGATTATTCGCAAATGGAAGAAACACAAAAGAACTGTCAATCTCCCTCGGCCTGGGGCTCCATGCAAGATCTCACCTCGTGGAGTTGCAATGACCATGAGAACGGTGAGGAATCAGCCCAGAACTACACGGGAGGATCTTGTCAATGATCTCAAGGCAGCTGGGACTATAGTCACCAAGAAAACAATTGGTAACACACTACGCCGTGAAGGGCTGAAATTCTGCAGCGCCCGCAAGGTCCCCCTGCTCAAGAAAGCTCATATACATGCCCGTCTGAAGTTTGCCAATGAACATCTGAATGATTCAGAGGACAACTGGGTGAAAGTGTTGTGGTCAGATGAGACCAAAATGGAGCTCTTTGGCATCAACTCAACTTGCCGCGTTTGGAGGAGGAGGAATGCTGCCTATGACCCCAAGAACACCATCCCCACCGTCAAACATGGAGGTGGAAACATTATGCTTTGGGGGTGTTTTTCTGCTAAGGGGACAGGACAACTTCATCGCATCAAAGGGACGATGGCCGGGGCCATGTACTGTCAAATCTTGGTTGAGAACCTCCTTCCCTCAACCAGGGCATTGAAAATGGGTCGTGGATGGGTATTCCAGCATGACAATGACCCAAAACACACGGCCAAGGCAACAAAGGAGTGGCTCAAGAAGAAGCACATTAAGGTTCTGGAGTGGCCTAGCCAGCCTCCAGACCTTAATCCCATGGAAAATATGTGGAGAGAGCTGAGGGTTCGAGTTGCCAAACGTCAGCCTCGAAACCTTAATGACTTGCAGAATATCTGCAAAGAGGAGTGGGACAAAATCCCTCCTGAGATGTGTGCAAACCTGTTGGCCAACTACAAGAAACGTCTGAGCTCTGTGATTGCCAACAAGGGTTTTGCCACCAAGTACTAAGTCATGTTTTGCAGAGCGGTCAAATACTTATTTCCCTCATTAAAATGCAAATCAATTTATAACATTTTTGACATGCGTTTTTCTGGATTTTTTTGTTGTTATTCTGTCTCTCACTGTTCAAATAAACCTACCATTAAAATTATAGACTGATCATTTCTATGTCAGTGGGCAAACGTGTAAAATCAGCAAAGGATCAAATACTTTTTTCCCTCACGGTATAGGCCTCGGCAATAGGGGGGAGAGAGAAGGGGGGGGGGAGGAGGCGGGGCAGAAAGTGGACCACCGCGGCAGCACTGGAGAGATCAGCTGCAGGGGGGGAGAGAGAAGGGGATGGGGAGCGGGGCAGAAAGTGGACCCCGCGGCAGCACCTGGGTTACTGGAGATAGAGATCGGAGAGAGATGCACAGAGAGAGAGAGAAAGACACACAGAGAGTTGGAAATAACAGCTGACATAGGCAGATAGGATGGAAACATCACAGTCAGTTAAGACTTTACCTGGTTAATAACGTCCTTCCAATGATTGCTCAGTTTGTACCCATCTTGTCGGTTGAAGTTGTGTTGGAGTTTATATATCTGCATGGCTTCATGAACAAATCTCTGATAATAGCCAGTGGGTTTGCAGAGTACCTTCATCTTGGAAAAGTCAATTTCGTGTGAGCCCACTGCGTTCAAACAATGATCAGCAATGGCAGAGGTATTCGTCCTACCGTGTTTCAGATATGCCTTGTGTTCGCGAACGCGGTCCGAGACATGTAGTTTCGTTTCCCCAATGTAACTGCTGCCGCAGCCACAACTCAGTTTGTAGACACCCGGGTATTGCATATCAGGAATCACATCCATTACAGATGGGATCAAATCACGGATTTTGTGTAATGTGTTGAAACGAACCTGGATCTCGTGTTTGTTTAAGATTTTGGAAATCTTTTTGGTAACCCCTGCTATGTATGGCAAAGTGATGGTTTTGGTTGGATCCTCAGAAGGTTGTCTCCCCATAGCTGGGGAGACAGCTTTGCGGATTGTACGGTCAGAATATCCGTTCATCCTGAGGGCTTGGTGTACGTGCTCCAGCTCACTGGCTGTACTGTTGCTTTTTAGGCCGGGATACCTTTGTCGGGCATTCGGCCGCCGATGTGATGACATTCGTTGTGCTTTCGCACGTAGCAGGAAAGACCGCGAGTAGGTTGTCATCTTCTTCCCCCATTATAATTGCATATACAGTCCTAACTTTAACAAACATGCAAGAAATATAATTTTACACCATGGGATTATTTCGTGAGGATGTCAAGAACTGCGGGTGGATGGTTAACTTTGAGTAAATTCCTGTTGAGTGTTTTAAAAGCTATATATTATTAAAAGCACATATCACAATCACCGAAATTGGGAAAACATGATGGTAATTTGAAAATGCCAAGAAACATTACTATTTGTTGCATTTCTGTAGCACTTAATATATTTGCTGTTGTTCCTATGTGGAGCGATTTACTTCAATATACAGTACAAGATTATACAGATTATCATTTGAATAATCCATTAGCTTAATGAAACAAATCACCAAGTGGCAGGCACTGCCAGCCTCGGTGCAGATCAATGCTACACAAAAGCTTGGTTTATATAATGGATTAAGGGTGAAAACCTGCAATGTACACACTTGCAGCTTTCAGTCTCGCGTGAAGTGATTATCATTATTGCATGAAAGGGTCAAGACGGGGGTGATGTAATGAATTTGGAGGATCGTGGCTGTTGACTGCAAATGTTTTGCTCCTCCTGGGTACGTGCTCACACGTTCATCTGCCTGCATAAGTAGTGCGAACGTGCAGTTTCGTATACGGAGTGGCCATAAAGAGATCATCCTCTGATAAAGAATTAAATGTATAAATTAATTATTAGGGAATACTTAATATTCTTTCGGAATAATTAATTAGACTGCAGTTTGAACCGTTGTGGTTAAGATGTTGTGACGAGATGAGTGATGAATGGAATCTATGATAAATTAGTTGGCAATGCTGCATCGGCAGTGGTGCACAAGCACACTTAACAAAAACACTCAACACACCCAGCAATAACACTGTGGCCTTGAAAGGAAAACAATATATAATAGGTGACATTATGGGCAATGGCCCTTCTTCATAGCACAGAAGGGCCATTGCAGAGATATATGATATTTAATTGTCACACAGCTCCGTGGCAAGGGATAATGTATTTTAGAGGTGAACGGGCCTACACTCTAGCCCAACCCAGAGAGGTGCTTTCTCAACATTGTATCATTCTGGGCTCTGTCTGCCCCCGGATCATAGTAAACTATTACATACAATACCGTATTGGTACTGTGCAGAACACTGCCAATGGCCAGCAAACATACAGACTTAGGGATCCCTGCATGAGTGATGGGGCCTGCAGCACATTATAAATGTGTGCTGCATGACAGCACCCTGGCAGCACACTTCCTCCTGCCCCAGACTCTCACGGCCGCACTTGCCCTGACTTGAAACCAGCGATTAAAGCAAAGGGGTAGCACGGGGTGGAGCGAGCTCCCCCACGCCCCTTCACGGTACACATTGGGGGTAACGGAGGGGGAATCCGTATGCGCCACATCGAATGGACAGCTTAACGGTTTAGTATTGTTCGGTAAAGCATTTAATTTGTACAATATATGTGTGTGGCGTACGCATGCTATAAGTGTGCCTTAACCATGTTCATGGACGGTTAATGTCGGTGTCCTTTTGTTTATCCAGGGGGCTGCATGGCCCTCTCACCTTGGCGCCTCTATGCATAGAGCTTGCCCCTGTTATGAATGTCTGCTTTAACAATTGACGAAAAAAATGTTGTTCCACCACTTATATTGCCCGTCTTATTTTGCATATGCATTTGCGAATGACATGCACCTGGCACGTCGATCTCTCACCTCGCCCGGTGTTGTCTGCCTCATCCGTAATCTCTCTCTGTCGCTCTGTCGTCAATGTTGGGAGCAGCTGTCATTTGCGGCCACAACACCCGTGCTTTCGGACAAGAAGAAGTACCCGAACTTCTTCCGCACGGTGCCGTCGGACAACGCAGTGAACCCTGCCATCGTGAGGTTCCTGCAGCACTACAAGTGGCAGCGCGTGGGCACGCTCGCACAGGACGTGCAGCGCTTCTCCGAGGTGCGCCCGTGAGCTGGCACGCGCCCTGCCAACGACAGCGTCGCCCAACTCCTCGTAGCGGAAAGTCGTCCAAACAAACATAAAAAAATACACCACGAGATGCTCCTGGATAATAATTGTAACACAAATGATAATGCCTGCATTTATGTTATGCCCATACGGTCATACGATGGAAGTGATTTGGAGTGCAGTTGTTTAGTCTGGGGAGGAGCCCTAATGGCAGCTTGTCCCTGATAGATAGACCTTCGTAAGGCATTAAAAATGTCTCTCGAAAATGTACCAAGCGTAAACAAAGCAAGTTTATACAGAATTATGAATACACACCTGGAATCATGTCACTGGATAATTTGCCAAGTATGAAACATTGTAAAGTGATATCATCATCCTTAACACAGACCTCATGCCCCCCTTGCCCAGAGAATGTGCACTCATGCATGGAAGTACACGTACACAACACATTCAGAGGCACACACAAGCATGACCTTACTTATACGAGTCAAAGATCCCCCTATCACCTGAACAGACTGTTGGGGCAAGCGCCGTTGTGGGCACCACATGGCAAACTGGGGGTTGGTGTAGCTAGCATCTTGCCCCACTGCATTTGGCTCCACAGTGAAAATATTTACTAAATGCACAAGGTACTAACTTAAGGCTGAGTCGACCTAGGGGAAGCCCTGAATCATTTCTTTATATTTGTCACTGATGTTGACTATGAGTGGGAATTGAACTTGGGTCATCGGGTTTGTAGCACAGTGTGCTTACGACTCCCTGACACGCTCATATACGCACACAAAAACCCACACGCGTACGCTTGCTTGCACACAAGCGTAGTCATGCTTGTGTGCTTTAATCGGAGCACAAGGATCCTACTGGTGTGACTTAATTGCATTGGATTTTTCGTTTTGTGACAACATTTTTTTCGGTGGTTGGGGTTTTTTTTGTCACGACACGAATATCTCTTGCTACTTTGATGGTATATTGAATTAAGACCAATTGCTTTTCTGTTAATCAATTACACAACAGCACATTTCGTTAAGGTTATCATGTACCACGTCGTGCATGTTTAATGTAGACTTGAAGGTTCCATAACATGCATTGGACTGTCATTGCTAAAATGATACCATCAACTTCATACACCTTTCTACGCAATTTGCTGGATAATAATTGTTTTACAAAGTCAAATGCATCTTTGGGTAAAAATTACAAAAGTGCTAAAGAAATACTGTATAAGATTAATCTGTGGAAATTATGAATACTTTTCCATTTTAACAAAGCTTTTACGTTAGGTAATTCCGAAATTTTATAAACAACGTTGGTCATCCTGAATTTGGACGATGCTTTTAGATGTCGGGATACCTATTATGGCAAAGCGGTTTGTGGTTTTATTGATATCTAAAATAATTTGGTGTTCTCACTGCTAATTCCTGGTATTTACCGAAAGTTTCAGAGAGCCGCATTAAGAGAATCAAACAGAATGTTACATAAATTGTCTACAATGAACACAGCGTATGTCTCATTAAATAGTGTATACAGTACAGAAAGAGGAGCACGTAGCTTCGAGGATGCACGCAGGTCCAGTGGTGTCCACTGGAGCTATGCACTTTTGGCCGCAGAAGCGCATCTGAAAGCACACGATGTAGTGACCGTCTTTGTTCGATGGCTAGCCTAAAATCCCTGCGAGAATGAGGTAGATCATTACATCGCAGGGTCATGAGAGATGGGAGTGGCCTTTGTCCAGCAGTGGATTTTATTCATGACTGATGCTGAAGATGATGACAGCATATGTCCTTCCCTTGCACCCCGCATCTCCGATTAGCACCACTTGGCTACGTACGATGCGAAAGACGATCAACATACATACATGCATTCAGTATATGCCCTATTCTTTCATAATTAGAGCAAAATATGTATGTTTTAAGGACAGTATATTGCACACATTTTCCCATTTTATTATTTATGGAATACTCATAGCTGCTGTACTTCATGAACCTGTTTTGAGTCGATTAATGTGTGTGCAGCTTTGGTATACCTGTTGGCGCTTGAGCTTGCAAAGAGTGCCTGTGTTAATTAGCCAGTGCCAAAATTCCACACGATGACACAGACTGTGAACGATGAGATAGCAATAATGCTGCTGCAACAAATATACAGCTGCTATTTCAAATGCGTTCAATGATAACGATTAGTAACAAGCACCGGTTGACAGGCAATTCAAATGCGGCCGGGTTACTCAGCAGTAGAACGAGCGGTTCGCAATGGGAAAGGTTGTGAGTTCAAATCCTGGCTGGGGGATGGCTCAGCCCGTCATTCCTCCAGGGTTCGAAAATACACGTATCACTTTGTGGGGAAGTCAACGGTGGTTGTCCGTTGGATTAACTCACCCATGCCATAGGAATGTGGAATTTATACCACTGAGGCAGGGGTGTAAACGGGAGATAGGTGCCGCCTCAATACTCGTTTTAGCAAAGCTGTACACATTTACATACTCTGCGTGGCACTTGAAAAATGAGGCTGATGCTACCGTCGTGTGTTTCACACGTGAGCAATTGGCTATATGATGTATTAATTATTCCTCTGAGAACAAATAGACTAATTGTGAATAATAATAGCGCTTATCGTGAAACATATGTGCACTAAAATGTATTAGACACATGCAATACATTTATGAGACTTATCAGTGTAAGTGTTAGTATTTCCCACTTGTTTCAGTTTATTGAGTTTTTGAGCCAGGCTGGCCACGGTTAGACAAGGACATGGCCCACTTTTCAGCCATGAAACCGGAGAACACAGAATTAGATAGTTCTTGATATTACATATCATTAAGAATGCACAATGTAAAATATACATAACAATGATAAAGTAAAGAAGAACATTTCGATTTAAAGCTTTCGTGACTGCAAGGATTCATCTTCTTGGTTCTTTCGGTAAAGTCACCACGTAGAATGAGAATAAAACAGCACAAGCGGCCGAAACGTCGTGCGAATTTTATTGTCTTATTTTGTTTTATTGTTTTATTCTCATTCTACGTGACTTTACCGAAAGAACCAAGAAGATAATGAAGAACACTTTAAATAACATATTTGAAAATTAGAACTGATTTAAAAAAATGACCAAGCGATTTTGTTTGCCAATTAGCATTTCCTATAGTGAGAGCTAGGGAGAAACAAACTAAAGCTGACTGTGAACTACAATATTTATACTGTGATATTGTCAATGGTTTATAGATTAGTGTATGTTTCTTTACCTGTGTAGTGACTGACTCAGATACACTAAGAGTAGGAGGCACTCTGTTTATTAACACGGCCTGACAGCAACACTTAGTAACTACGGTTACCAGTCAGGACAGCTGGTTGACTGCTTGACTGACGACGCCGAGGTCCCCTCCCGGGGCCCCTCTTATAATGTCAGCGTGGCCTGGCTCCGCCCTGGCCACGCCCCCTTCTGGACTCTTCCCCTAGATCCCTCTCTGGTCTATTACCTGGCCTGCTGTCAGTGAGGGCTGCTGTAAGCTGGAGATCCCCTTCCCTGCCAGTAGCCAGCTCTATGCTGCTTCGTGACCGATTCGATGTCACTACACCTGGATTATCTCCACAACTAGAAGGGCTACCCACAGAATGCTCGATCTCCAATGAACGTGAGGTTTTTTTTTTCCACGACATGAGCACAATTTCAAATCGCTAGGTTTTATTGTTATATGTTGAGGTTAAAAGCTAATTTAAGTAGTGATATGTATGCTTTGGGAGTAAAAATTAGAGTTTGGGGTGAATGCATAATAGTTCATCATGATGATGCAATAACCAGCTAAAGAAATAATTTAATATTATTTTAGATTTCAGATCATATTTGCTATTGCATGCTCCACGGGTGCTACCAATTGTTTTCTTCTGTATAGGGAGAGGAGGAGAGGTAATGGGGGATGGAGAGGTGGAAGCCCAGCATAGGAGAGTGATGTTCATCATCAACGTTCGTTTTGTCCCGTGCTTGTGACATCGCGTGTGTGCATGATGTTACACGTGTAACATCATGCACACACACGTGTGTAACATGCAATTTTTATATATGGCACATTGCATTGATTTTGTGAGCTTTTATTGGCAGGGCATAAGACTTGAGGAGACGGAATTTGATTTTTTTCAAGAATCTCTGAAAGCCAAGCTTGTCTATGTGCAGAGTCCTATATCTCGTTCATTGTAATAATTTATATATGCTTTTTTAACAAGTCTAACTTGACGTCAAAAGCATGCTATTAAGCAAACACTAACTAGACAGCAGTCAGATAATAAACTGACCCTGACAGCAAAATATCTTGTTGCTTGCATCATATCAAATGTCAAGTTTAAAATATCAGCATCCTGCTCATAAGATTAGTCCTAAATGTATAAAAGGGAAACGTCACTGAGCCAGAGACAAGACATGTTTTTTTTCAAGAACAGTGCATATTATTATCAGAGTTGTCTTTTTTGTTTGCATTTTGACTGCTTGTGTTGTGGTCATTGCAAACATGATGCCTTTAATAAAGGTGTCAGTTTTTGTGCCAGTTAAAAGGGTAAAACCTATTCCTATATCTTGTTTCTGGCAAAGGAGGTCTCATAATGTTAATGCTCACCCCGAGCCCTCAATACTCTGATAGTGCGCTGTTTTTGAGTTGTACGCATTGCGTCTTCTGGTCCAACACCAATGGAGACTAGGCTCTAAGAAAAGCTGTCTCGGGTGTGGACCAATCAAATTCAAGAACAGTGCATATTATTATCAGAGTTGTCCTTTTTTGTTTGCATTTTGACTGCTTGTGTTGTGGTCATTGCAAACATGATGCCTTGAATAAAGGTGTCAGTTTTTGTGCCAGTTAAAAGGGTAAAACCTATTCCTACATGTATTTATCTCTGGTAGAGAAGCCAGCTCTGTTACTTGATATCATGAAAAAGAGTTTCTTTAGTATACACTCTGAAAATGCTTATTCTTCATGGAAACCTTGGAAATGGATAATGTTGCTCTGATACAATTCA